AAAGTGAGTGAATTTGAAGATGGACAACCCTTAGCAGCCGGATACCTACAGCCCAATAATAATTGGAATACGTTTAGGTGTAGGTGAAGCAACCTGAAGGAAAGTGCCTGAAGAGGGTAGCTGCTAAACACAGTAAAGTTTTGCAACTGGTTGAGGAAGTTTCATGGAGTTGTCTGGATGCGTGAGAATGAGAATGGGAAGAGCAGGAAAAGGAAAGAGAGGGAGGCAGGGAGAGAGAGGGTGGGAAGGATGTGGATGAGAGAAAAGGATTCCTTTGAAGCTCACACATCCATACAGGACCATAACCCAAGCCAAACAGGGCTGGTTCTGACGTGCGCTTTCTGTCTTTTGCTTTGTTTTTTTCCTACATTTTTCTAAATTGTTGTCCCTTAATAATTGCTTGATATTATGAGATCATGATTTCCCCTACTCTCGTTAATTCAAATATTATCAATTACTATATGCATATTTATATATGTTATAATATAATCTATCTGTCTGACATTATTGAATGATTGTTCAGGCCAACATTCTCCCTCCCTAAAAAGTAGAGATAAAGTAATCCAGGGACATTATGAACTTTTAACATCAAGGGTAAAAGTGATAAAAAGCAAAACTGCTTTACCTCTTTCTGCACTCACTGCCATCAATGCTTCAAGATTGGAATTTGCAGATATCCTCCCCACGAACTACAGTTCTTACTAACTCAATACTATTATGTTCCTATCTCCAGCTCTCTATGCAATACTATTTGCACGCAGAGATAGAGAAACAGGCTCTCTCTTCAAATGCATTAATCAATACGATTCAGTGTTAATGACGTTATTCTTTTTGAAAATTTGAACTCTTGTTTAATGGCGACATTTATTTGCATGGTTTCTGAAGGGAAACGTGAAGGGAATATAGGTCGGTCCCTGTGCATGCTGCCAACCCATCACCGCTTCTGATCAGATTTTTTTTGTCCAAAGAGGACAGAGAGATGTCAAGGCGTGTCGGTTTTATTCTAATATATATCATGAAAAGTCAGTACCGATTTATTTAGAACAGTGTATATAAATATGATATGACAAAGTTAAGCATCAATGTTTTGTCAACAGTAGAAGATGACAACGTACTAAATGAATGTGGGTGACATGGCTGGTTTTTACTTTTGCTTCCTCTGTCTCTCTGCTGGATCATTTGAAATTTTCAGTCTCTGAAATATTACACAACTAATATATTAATGCGAGAGGGTTATGGATCAGAAGATGATGATTAGTAATTGGTTTGGTGGACAGGATGCAAGTGATGAGTAGACGGATGGACCTGGGACTACTGCTGCATGCGTGGTGTTCTAGAACCAGGGACTGGGCAGTCTAACACACAGTGTCAAAAGCGGGACGAGTAGAGTGATCACCGCTCCATATTTGTTCTATCAAAATAATGATTACCTTGTATGTCTCACTAAAAACAAGAATAAAAAGATCTGGGAGAAAATGAATGCCGTGATCCCCACTACAAATTAAAGTTCTGCTTCTAGGGCATATAATTATAAACCACTAGTTATCAGACTCAGTCACAGCTTATTATCTGATTTCATACACACGGACTCACGCGCGAGTAAAGCGCATGCAGGTAATGTCTTTAATTTCAACTCCAACTGATAACAGGCGAAGTTCCTAAGACTCTTCACATATAGTTCAGGTTACTAAATTTTGTCCCAATATTTGCTCAACTAGATTTGACGTCTTTACAGACGTGAGGGACCAGACAGTCCTGTCCATTGTTATAAAACGCATACGGAAGATATGGCGGGTGCGTCGCTTAATTTAAATGTGCTGGCACGAGTGGGTCTCACCCTTTGGGCTCTTTAAGCCCAAAAAACGGAAGGTGCTGCTCAACCATATCACCCACTACAAATTCTCGATCCGTTTCGTTGGATATACAGCTTCAAGGCACGATCAAAATTGACCGAGTTCAAAAGTTAATCATGTAAATATTTTCAGTTCAGGATATAGTGATCTTGTTTTTAAATCCTCTCTACTTTCTGCTAATTTACCCTTTTTAATAGTTTTTTTTGTTAGAAAACATTATTAATTATGATATAATTCAACAATCAGCACTTTGCTTCCTACTTGAAAATATCTCGATCTCTATGAAGTATATAAAATCTGTGTCCAAAAGATAATAATAACAATAGTAAGCCTAAAACCTTGGGACTCTGGGTTCATCCCCTACGGCCCACCCGCTCTGCCTCAGATAAACAAGATAACAGCTTTACCTGGAGACCAGAAGCAAGTGGGCGTTTAGATGGAAAGTGCTTTTCATACAAGTCAACTTTCTCTTCCCCTTTTCGTCACTTATGACCAGCGTCTCGTTTCATCTTTATCGTCCTCTATAATTGCAGCTCCCAAATAACTTCCATAATTATTTGTTCTTAACATGTCAACTTTTTCCCTACCATCTCGCCATCTCCCAATTTTATCTTTTCCTTTTTTTTTAACAAAACTTCTTCTGTAATTATTCGTTATTTGGAAAAAAAAAAAAGAATACTGTAAATAGCTTCTCAATAGCTGTTTCCAAAATATACATACAAGGCACCCGGTCTTCAGCATTTGAGTTTCCGCTGGACGATTGAGTCTGGGTCGTGTGTTCCGTTCAATTTCAAAATGTTCATCAGCATAATCAGCTATGTTAAAGATTATTTTCCCCTTGAGGTCAGCTGGTTGATGTTAAAGATTTAAACACTAGTTGATACCTTTTTTTTAAGACATAATTAGTAATTTCACGTTAGGGTATCACTCTCACCGAGCCTGACGAGCTGGCTCACAACATCTTATAAATTAATTAAATTGTAATCAATTCTTTTATGGCTGACTCTGTTTGGTCAATTAAAGGACGAATTCCTCTTAAATGACATGAGAACCGATTCACAAAACAGGCCCGAGGACGGAGGATTCTTTTTTGGTGGTGTTCGGTGCAAAACAGAGTCCCGTACGTTTGGTTCTACCAAGCTAAGAACTAAGAAAGGTCAATCAACTTAGTTCTAGAGCTAATAATTCGAGCAAGTCAGGCTTAATTCAAGTTAGGATTATTTAGATCAGATTTAAAATATTTTAACATATAAAAAAAATTATATAGTCAAATTCAACTCTAATTCTTCGGGCTTTCAAGCTAGTTTAAATACTCGAATTGTTAAATATCAAAATGTTTTATTTTTGATTTAATTTCAATTTTATTTTTAAAAAATTAATATTTTCAATTTTTATATTATTTTATTAATTAAAAAAATTTGAGCATTCAAACTAAGCTCATTCGAGCTTGGACTTGGTCTGAAATTCTTTAAGTTTATTTGAACAGTCCAAATAAGTTTGGAGTAAATAAAATATTTTAAACTATCAAATCCAGCCTTAAAATTTTTTCATCAAGTTTGGTTCAAATTACTGCCCCTATTCAATCCCCAATTAGCTCTCTGCTTTAATGAATGACACTGCTTTTGCAGGCTAACATACGTTCTATATTTTGATCTAGATAACCGAAGAGAGGTTACAGGAAGTGAAAGTACACTGTATGATTGTTCAGTTAATGCATGGGTGTTGAAAGAGCATTTTATGGAGCAGGACCTTCACAGAAACATATTGAGAGATGGAAAAAGTATGATGATATCATGATAGTAATGTTTTGACGGGTGCGTGCACTAATTTTTTTTGCCGGGGCGGCAGCAGGGTGTACAGCGGACGAGGTCAAGAAATTTGTGAATATTACTCCGCGTCAAGGATTCCTTTAGAAATAGGGAGATTCCATGACAGTTCATATGATTCTGACACGTTTAATGGTTAATGATTGTTAGGAATTACGAAAATGTTTGTCCTGCTGTCTTGGAGCCTGTGGTTGAGGAGGGGCTAACAAAGGCGGAACCTTGGCTTTGGTAATGAAATGCTTAAAGAGAAGGAATAAGAGGGGCATTAAAGTAATGGGGACGATGGGAAGTTTAGGGTGGGGAGATGGAAGGAGGAAAGGTGCTTTAGATAGGATGGGAAGAGAGTGCGTGAATGATGAATCAAATGAATTAAAATAAGGACCCAAGCATTAGGGAGCATTGAGTGGAGGCTATTGCCGCTTTAGGTGCATATAATTGTTGTTTATGGACGCACTTTGCAAACCGAGTGCTGGTATTTTGTTTTAAAATAAAAGAATAAACAATGAGGGAAACAAGGATGAGTGGGAAGGAGGGTTGGGCATACGGGGGAAGAATCATGGCCAGATTCTGGGGGCTGTCAAGATTCTAAAAAGAGTTGGAAGCCCTCCTTGATGAGCATGCATGCCTGCCACGTTGGATATAAATTTTCAAGTGAAGGGCGCACTCAGAAGCGGACTAGTGCTTCATCATGAGTTCCCTGTTCATGCCATCACCTCTCTCTCCTTTCTTTTCTCCCAATTTCTAGCTTCTTCCGTACTGCTTTTCAAGTATTAGTTACAAATTTCAATCACTTGTATTTACTTTTCGCTGGAATCACGGGTTTCCTTATGCTAACTAGTATTTACGGTCATTCAACTGTGCAGGTTATTATACGTCTGCTGTATTTGAGAGGCGAGGGATAGAAATCAGAGTGCCACGTGCCCAACATGAATTTCCCATTTTGAGTTTGTAATTAATTAGGTGTTCATATTCTTGATGATGATGCTTACGCCAGCTCAGGGGACTTGAGATCCCCGCTTTCTTTACACACACATGGGTTGGTGCAGCACAGCCATGCCATGACGCACCTCCCTTCGTCATCACATATTTCCTTCATTGCCTCCTCTTTTGCTACGTTTAGTTGGACAGCACTTTCCAACATAAGGAATTTTGCCCTTCTCTCCTCCTTTGGATTTTTTTTTTTTAAATGAAGAGTGTCGGAGGGAAAATTTTAATTCCTGCCCCTTGCTCTCTAGGAGTACAGTGGAAGATTTGAAGAAAATCGTTTCATAAATCAACAACAAAATCATTTGAAGAAAATCCTTCTCTCTAAGAGTGTCAGTAAACATAAATATTCATTCCATCTCATATCGTTTTCAAGATAAAATAAAAAAAACAATACATGGTGACCTGGTACCCAAAAAAAAAAAAGAAAAAAGAAAACAACAACAACAACAAAAGGGATTCCGTCTGCTTTAATGTGCATGATACTGACTAGAGGGAACCGCGTCATGCGAACACAAGATACCACAAGTAATTCTGAGAAATCTAACAAAACTAACAAGGAATTCAGCATATTTGATTTGATACGGGAGAACACAATTACACGAGCCGTGGGATGGAACGGGCGTTGATGAGAGGGACGAGAGAGCAGAGCGCCAAAAGAGAGGAGAGGAGTCGTGTTTGCTAAGGACATTTGATTTCCAATAATTGAACAAGCATTTGTCCGCATGCTTCCTTTCCCCTTATGCATCATTTTCATCTTCTTTTCCAAACTACTACTCTGTAAACCCCCACCCACTCCTCCTTTCATTTTCCCATCTTTCTTAACGACTCAACCCCATAAACAATGGCCGCGAAGCTCTTCCCTTCCTTCTTAGGACGGCCAGGATCGTTCCTGTCCTTGGCAGATGGCGCAAACAACAGATGGACGCGCAGGATGAAAGAGAAATCCCAAAGGAAAACGCATTTCTCATCTGCCTTATCTACGGATACACCAACCCAACAAATACATATATGATTGATAATTGATTTTTATGCAGAGAGAGATGAGAGAGAGACTTTGGGATTTGGGGTGAGGAGAGGGAGCGAGCTACTGGGGCTATGCATCTACTGCTTTGAGTGCTTAATAATTGGGAATGGGACCCAAAAGACTGACACGGAGACTGACTTGCTCTGACTGACTCCGCGAAACGTTGTGGAACCCCGGCAACGTTTCCTGACTGCACTGCACGTACTGGATACCCTGTACACGTGTTCCCTCCATAACCAGCGAGTATCCTTCACGCCAAAACCTCCCTCGCACATTTATTCGAATCCATTCTCCCTCCCTCCCTCCCTCCCTCCCTCCCTCTCTTTTTGATATGATTATTCGAATCCATTCTTTTCCTATATTGACCACTGACTCCGTGTCCACCATCCATCCCCCCAAAAGTAACAGAAACCAACAGAACCCAATCAAACAACAAAAGGTTTTCCTAATTCTGTTATGCTCGTCGTTTCCATACTAAACGGGCAAACGCCTCGCGGATTCAGATTTCATACTCCTAACGATATCATACAAATTAGTTATATCGACATCTCTCTTCTTTTTTTGTTTTTTTTAATATTAATTAAGATGGGATAAAATCAATGGTGAATCATACCCATAGAGCACCGACTTCGACTAGCTTGGGGACGAGGTGGCCGCTGAGATGGAGGGCGACCAGGGACTCCAAACCGCCTATGCAGGCGCCGCCGATGAAAACGGCGGGGGCGCGATTGCGGAGGGATTCGGTGTCGAGGTCGGAGGAGGCAGGGAGAGCGGCGATCTCGTGGTCGTCTAGTTCGATGACGGTGGGATGGACGCCGATGGTGGCTAGCAGCTTCTTCATGACGTGGCACATGCAGCAAGAGGATCGGCTGAAGATGATGACCGGGTGCTCCGAGATCAGGCGCTGGATTCGTGCCTCAGTGGTTTCGTCCAAGTCGATGGATAAGGAGGAGGAGGAGGAGGAGTTCGTCATGGTGGTGGTGGTGGTGGTGGTGGAGGAGGCTGTTAGGTCAAGGTGGACAGCGTCGTCAGAGCAGTGGCGTAACCCTTGCATCGCCGTACACCGCCGGTAGCGAGAGCGAGAGAGAGAGAGAGTGATGTCAGCGGGGGAAGAAGGGAAGTGGTGTTGGGGAGACTGGAGAGCTGGAGGTGATTTGTAGGTGTTTTATATATGAGCGGAGGGCGTTGCTTACATCATAGTTTGCTGTTCCCCGCCCCCAACTCTCCTGCACGCGCCCTCCTCGCGTCTGTTTACCATTAAAAAAAATTATAAAATATTTTAAATTAAATTTTATTGAAATAATTAATTATCTTCAAATTAACTATTTTTTTATATTTATTTTTATTTCATAAAATTTTTTATTTTAAAATAAATATAAAATAATTTATTGAATAGAAATACTTTTAAAAAAATAATAATTATATTTTAAAAAATAAAAATATTTTATATTTTTTAATATTCAATCTCTTAAAAAATATTTTATATTTTTAAATGATGGAAGTATAAGTAAAATTATTTAAAAAAATATTTAAAATTTTACATCTTTCTAAGCATATACTTATTAAATTTTTTATATAAGTATTTTAATAATGATAATTAAAATTTTCAATACATTATTTTTTAAAATAATTACCATAAAGTCATCCACAGCTATTTAAAATATTCAAAGGTTCCATGGAACATTTGAATAGCTGTCAATTCCATGAGGTCTTAAGGAATAACATAAAAGATAGTCTACACGATGGTTTTGGAAATAACACTTCTTACCTGCTATACTTTGGTCCAAATAGGACTTATAAAAGATAGTCTATATGATGGTTTCAGAGAGAAAACTTCTTACCTATTCAATCCCAAAATTGAAATTTTCATTGAGATATTGTCTCATCATTATTGGTCAAATAATCAAATAACTCCGTAGCTAGGGCCATCATATATCAGAACTGATGTATATCAAATGTATATGATAATAATTATACCAAACCTCACTAATTATATACTCCTATATATTTCTTATACCTTTTATGTGAGGTGAAAATGTGTTTAACAGGTTTAATTATATGACCCATTTTTTTCCGCGGAGTCTCGGTGAATACTGTGTGTGTGTGTGTGTGTGTGTGTGTTTGGGGCCAGAAGAAAAAGAGATCACGCGGAGTAACTTTGGCCTGTAGGGTGCGTTATTTAACATTTATGATTTGACGTCAGAGAGTTGATTTATATATACACACACATGAATAAAGGAAAATAAGTCAGAAACGAGTTGAAGGATGGGATGGGAATTTGGAGGGGATACCGGGAGGAGGAAATGTGTGAAAGATTGCAAATCCGTAGTGCGCGGTTGCTGGCTTTTCTCAAGGATCAAGGGAGGATTCAGGATTGGTATGAGGAGACCGGGTCGCCAACGTAACAGCAAAATGGATAGTTCGAGAATTACCCCATATTTTTGTTTCGAATTGGAAGTAATCACTTCAGATCGCACGCCCCCCCAGTTGGCAGTAGTAGTAAATGGGTCCGTTTGGATTTCAGTTGGGTATAATAGATTATGAAAATAATTGATTAAGTGATAGATTTTAATCATAATTGATTATGTTATAACGTAATCTGTTTGGATACTGTTTTTTTAAAATTAATTTTAACAAAATTGAAGATGTTTGGATAATTTAATCAGAATTAATTTTTAATTATATAAATTACTATATAATTTAATTTTTAAATATCAAATATTAATTTTTTGAATATACAAAGTTTAAATTTTATTAAGGAAAAAAAAGGGAAAAGAAGAGAGTTTAATTTTATTTTTATTAAATTATGTGCTTTCTTTGTAATTTTTTCTTGGGCCATTCTTTGTAATTTTTCCCAACGCTTTTTGATAAACGTTCTGCAAAAGCTGATGGAGAGAACTTACGGAAAAACGCGCGTCCTGACCCATAATCGATTTTTGATGATTTTTGACTGTTTGGCTAACTTTTCATATTAATCGATTTTTTGCCTCAAAAATCGATTAATGAGGCAATCCAAACGGACTGAATGATGATTGACGTCCCATTGACTTGGGACGCCCAATGGTGAGATTGAACCCCTGACGTAACCAAACAAAAAGGTAAGCCCGGGCTGACGCGGACTGGACCCCACCACCCATCCCTGACATTGTCTGCGGAAGCGCTTCTTCCTTCCCCGTCATCCTGACGTTCCTCTCCCGACACGTGCCCTTCTTCTTTTTCTTTCCTTCTCCCGGGGAGGCAACCTCATCCTGTGGGCTTGGCCGTTTCCACCCAATGAACTCACTCCACGTGGCCTGGCGGCCGGCTGCAGTGGGCTGTGGTCCCCCGCCCCCGCGAATCTAAAGTCATTGAGCTACGAGGTGCACCGTTGATAGTGGTAAATAGGGTGCCTGCCATGTGGCCCGTGACGTGTACCCGAGTTGCATCACATCGCGCACCCCTCTGAACTCTTTTGTCAGCTTCTGCTCTGTTCCAGTCTCGGCCGCTGTTTCCAACCCCGAAAGCAATTTTTCCTTCTAATTAATGGTTACTCGCCTGTGCATTACGGTTGTGTATTTAATTAGTTATTACTCAGCTTCCAACACTGCCTGTTTTAGAATATGCACGTGTGGAGAGGAGAGTACTCAAGTGAAAAACGGAGTTAGATGTAACGTGGTGTGTATGGTAATGACATCATACGCAGCATGTAAAATTATATCGCCAGGGATCGCACTAAAATTTTTGGACCCTGCCTTTTGACATATTTCGCCGTATTCTCCTGATCATTGCTGAACTCAGGACATATCTCTTGGTGAATCCTGCTTGATGACCTTGTGAACACTAGCTAGCAAACTCTTTTTGGTCAAGCATTCTAAACCAGAGAGTTGATTTGCTTTGATGAAACTCGATTAATATGTCTGATGTCTCTCCAAGTCTCCATCAGCATGACTTAGAGGGCAAGCAAGAGAAGGCGTGGTGCTACTGGAAAACTGAGACGGTGCGTTTGGTTTTATGAATAGAAGGACTGGGATTTGATTGGGTGGGCGGATGTTCCAAATCAAAAGGGCGGGGGGATTCGATGGATTGGTTGGGTTAATTAAAATGCAAGATCAGTGGACAATAAAGGCACGGACTTGAATTCTCAGCTTTTTAATATTTGGGGTTTTGGAGAGGGCTTTTGTTGCGTGGAAATGGCACTGAAGGTCATTATGCGTATGTATATAAAGTCAAATCCATAAACAAAAAATGCAGGGCGTCGCAGTCACACATCATCGTCAACCATTCAAAATTCACACCACGTACCCTGTGGCTTTTCACTTACCGCCCATCTCTAGGAACTTCAGATTCGTTTGTGTGTGTATGTGTGTGTGTGTGTGATCATGGGTTAATCAATGAGCATGCGAGACGTACATGTCACATTAAAAATTAATTAATTTATAAATTATTGGCCTGATTTTTAGCGAAGAAGTCAAATAGTCATAACTCTGGTTAGATGTGCCAAGCATGTTAGAGAAACATGTTCTTAAAAGAATAAGTTATAATCAAACAATTAAAAAGATTTTAAAGATCCTTTATCATAATTTTTTTGAAATGACTTATGAGATTAGCAATATGGAGTATATCACAAATGAGCATAAAGCTCATTAGAATTACTTATTATAATAAATACAGTGAGATGCTCCATAAGAATGGAGAAGCAAGCAAGTTTGGAAAACTAGTCTAAAGGCAGAGTTTACACAACGAGAGTGAGTCACATAGGGTGAGGTTGAAGACAACATAAGGTCAAGATTTGAATAGTTTATATTGGACAAGTATTAGATAAATTTGATAGTGTCCAAAGACTTTTAATTTTGTGCTTGTTGCCTATTTATAACAAATAGTAACAACGCACTTCTATTTGAATTTGGTGCTTGACGCCAATGGGAGCAGATAAATTTCTGTGCTCCAATCTATCATTTGATGTGGTGAGTGTGGATGTGCTGAGATTCTTGAGTGATGGAAGGAGTGCGCAAGACTTGGTCAGCTTGCCTTAAAATGCACCGATTTACTTATTTTTACCTGGCTAGACCACATTTCGGCTGAACTCCTTTTCTTTTGGGTTGAGCTTTAAGGATCTTTTACTTTTGGACTTGGCGCTCCAGATTTGGTACAAACATAAATATATTCATTAGTCAGAACGTGTAGGTAGTGGAACATACGTATCTATAAGGCATGTGGGGAATGAACAAAACGTTTATGCAACGGGGGGCATATTAGAATTGGTGTGATAATCAAGCAAGAGATTTGTGATTTGTAAGGAAGCAGACGTTCAAGTTCGATCAGGAGTCGGAATCTCTGGACCGTATTGTATTTGGTTTTTCGTTTGATGTCATTTTTTGGGTGTGCGGATCTGAAGCCAATCCGAATGAAGGAAACATGGGATTATCAGAAAACTAGGAGTCAGGGACGATGAAATTTTTGGGGAGTGAATGAAAACCAAGAAAGGGGTATATAAATAAGCATAAAATATGTGTTAGATAGATGCATGGGGTTTATGTTTTAAATTTAAATAGCTGTCGCTTTACTGTTTTTATTATCACTTGTTAATTATTGTTAATTACAGCAACAATCAAATACTGTGGTTTGAATTAATCAAGAATATTTTAGTTGAATAATATTAAATTTTAGTATAGCTAAACAAATTTTCTAAAATGGAGAGCATGTACCAGGAGGGAGGGAGAACAAGAGTGGGGGCTTGAAAAGGCAGGAGCAGTGAATCCAAACCCATGACTCAGGGGCATCATCGAATGGGAAGCCACGTGTCAGGTAACTGTAGCATTATTAGGCCACTTAGATTCCTTTCATCTAATTATTGGCGATTTTTTTTTTTTTGGCGGGGGGGTGGGGGGATTTTACTTAAAATGCTTCATAAATCGTAAGTTGAGGGATGGAGGGTTTGCGGAGGTGAGAGAGAGGTGGACATTAATGCTTTGTTAATGGGTTCACACATCTTGAGGAGCTCCCAGGGGCAGAATTTCAAAGGAGGGTGCGTGCTTACACGCTCGCCCTCTATGTTTTTTCAATATAAATGCTCAC